TATTGTATATAGTTATTGTACTTTTGTATATAGTTTTTCTTTTGTTAGTTATAACCTTTTGCTTTTTTTTTCTTTTTATTAAATTAGAAAAGGTGAAATGTGGTGGTATTCTATTTGTACTGAAATGTGATTTTAATTGTATGTTAATAAATAAAGTTGCCCGGGAGTCAGAGCTATTAGAGCCATAGAAAGAGCATGGCGGTGGTGGCGCACGCCTTTAATCCCATAGATCTCTGTGTGTTCAGGGGTACAGCCAGCATTGGAGACGTACGCCTTTAAGACCTAGACTTACAGGCAGTGACGAGGCAGTCATGTGTTTGGGTTTACAACCAATAAGAAAGCAGAACAGAAAGATTATTTAAAGATATACACACAGGAAATAGGTCTCTTTCGGGAAGCTAGGAGCACTGCAGGAGGTAAGATTTTAGCGCTGAGCTCTGACCTCTCGGCTTTCTCTTTTACATTGGTTCTGTGTTTCTTATTTAATAAGACGGTTGGTTACATCTACACAGGCCACTTACTCCTCTTTCTCCCTCCTTCTCAATTTCCTTCACCCCTCAGCTATCTCTGGAGTCAGATTGAGGTCTGCTTTTCCTGGTTAGAAAGTTGTTTTAATGGTGATCATGACCACTCTTCTACCTATCACATCAGCACCCTGCCTCCTAGCATACACACCCTGTTCCTAAGGGAGGAAGTACCTGCAGCCACCACCTCTGGCCTTCAGCTTCCTCAGCCCAAGCTTACTGTGACTTTTGTGGTTCTTGAACTTCTGAAGACCCACGTACACCTGGACACCAAACCAGTAAGCAACATTCCTCGTGGTCTCTGCTCAGCTGCCACCTGCAGTTTCCGGCTTTGGAGTCCCTTGATGGTAGACTGAGCCCAAAATAACCTTTCCCACCAAAAGCAGCTTTGGGTCACAGTGCTTTTCACAGCAACAGAGAAACAAACTAGAACAGGGATTTATACTAAAACTCAAGACAAAGGAAATCTCATACACACACACACACACACACACACACACACACACACACATTGTGAGAAACCTACTGTACTTTTTGAAACTTTATTTTGTAAGGCTATAAAATGAGACTCCTTCCTAGCACCTACTTCATTGGGATGTTATACAAATTAAGCATTACAAAGCAGAATTGGGCAGAGAAAGAAGCAAAAGTAGGACCACATCGCCTCTCCATGGAAACCCTCAGGAACAATGTCTCTAGTCAAAGAAAAGTCTTAAAGCTCAGGAATGGGAAATGCTACTTCCCTTTCCTGATCCCTAACACAGAACTTGTTAGCTTGTGATGGTTTGAATGACACAGGCTCACATGCTTGCAAGGTTTGTCCCCAGTTGATGAACTGTTTGAGAAGGATTGGGAGGTGTGTCCTTGTTGGAGGAGGTGAGCTGCTAGAGTGGACTTTAAGGTTTCAGAAGCCCACACCAGGCTCTCTCTCTCTCTCTCTCTCTCTCTCTCTCTCTCTCTCTCTCTCTCTCCATAAACCCTGCTTCCCTTTCTCCACCCCTCCACCTCTGCCAGCTGTCTGTGGGTCAGGATATTAAGTTCTCATCTACTGCTCCAGCACCATGCCTATCTGCTTCCTACCATGACAATATTGGACGAATCCTCTAAACTGTAACAAAGCCCCCAATTACATGCTTCCTTTTATAAGAGTTACCTTGGTCATAGTATCTCTTTATGTTGATAGAACTGTAAGGAAGACACCCTTGCATAAATAGCAATAGTATTAACATACCACACAGGCAACGTGAGGCTAAAACAATGCCTACTTTTAAAGTACCTTAGATAATGATGCTAATAATCTTCCACCAGAATCACTGTGAATGAGTTTCAGATTGGACCATCTTGAGTGTCTCTCCCAACCCTACAGCTTCACATGACTCATGTGCCATGGGCTGCTTGCTTTGAAGTCACTGGAGCCCCAGCAAGTAATTCCAGGCTGTGCAGTTGTCTACTCTCCTGGTCACCAGATTGAAAGTCACAGAACACCATAGTTAAGTCCCTGTGGAATGATCTTTAACCAACAGGTGATATGAGACATGACTAAGTTGACATGTAACTTCCTCCAGCTGATAGGCTGATCCTAAGGCATGAATTCTGTTTAGGGCCACATGGCAGCGACCCACAAGTTGAGCACATTGAAGGTGCTTCTTATCATTCCCCATCTCTCTTCTCCTTTCATCTACTCTAGCTGCACTAGGATGTATATTCTAATTGAGAATGGTCATTTCAATCTCATCTAAGGCTCTTTGTTATGAAATGTGAATGAAGAAAATGGAAAATAATAATTCATAAGTTTCCTTTTATTCTAAAATGAATCCAGATAATCAATTTGGGTTTTTTTCTTTACAAATAGGAACTTGGAGTTTATGCTGAGATAATTTGGTATAGTGCTAAAAGTCTGTGACATCCTATGATTAATTTAGACATCCACAGCATACTCAGGGTACCACCCTAGCCCAAAATACTATATCCCTTGCCCAGGCTTGCACCACAAATTCCTGACTGGTCTTCCTGCCTCCACCCACTGCCTGTTCAGCACATTCTCCTCATTGCTGCCAGCACGACTGCATCGGTCAGAACATGCTAACTACTGTAAACCACCCTGGCTCCAACGCTTCACACAACACACACATTCTTTAGACGTGCGTCATGGTGAGTCCAGTGAAAGACAGATGCCAGTTAGAGGTTCTGTTGAGCTGCTTTCCATCTTAGTGATTTCTTTATTCTGTGGATTTGTAGTCACATTTCGGTCGTCTCGGCCCCTCACCAGCAAGAGCACGCCGTGGAAGATGGGGCACAAGAGGTTTAAACATCTGACCACAAAGGGACATGGATCACTTCCGCCCAGCATTCCACGTGATGTTTCACTTCCTGCATCAGTTTTAGGATGGTTTGGCATAAAAAATTAACATTTAAATTGGGGGCCTTTGAGTGAGGCAGATCACCCTCCATAATGTAGGCCAGCTTCTGCCAGAAGGCCTTAGCAGAATGAAAAGACCAACTTTCTTAAGTAAGATGGAATTGTACTGTAAACAGCCTTCAGACAGCATCTGTAACATTAGCTTTCCTGTTCTCCAACGACCCAGCTCACAATTTTAGACTCATCATCTTTCACAATTATATAGACAAGTACACACACACACACACACACATACACACACACACACACACACACCTGACTAATATGCCCCGTTGACCAGTTTAGGCCTATGAGCCACAGCTGTGGGGAGGTGAGAAACACTACTCATTCAGATGCTTGAACAGTGGCAGCCAGTGCTTTCTAAAGCAGAGAGCTGACTGAGCTGACTTCACAGCCTTCTTGTGTTAAATCCACCACAGCATATCATCTTATCAATTCTCTTTATGCCTCACTACTGACTTCAGGTCTTCCTGATATACTAAACATCTCATTGCCCCTCCATCGTATAGATACATGCTCCATCCTGGTCAGCAGTGACCCTTCCAACACAATCTCTGCTACTTCAGAGACATTCCTGAGAGTTAAGACTCGCTCTATATTTATATGAATATTAATACACTCACGGTATTAACTGCTTTTTCATTGCTGGAGAAAAAAAACATCTGGGCAGATATAAGCGACAAAGTCTATCTTGGTGAGGGAAATATTATTGGGAAGGCACAGAGCCAGCTGGTCACACTGCACCCAGTCAGGAAGCAGAAGGTGATGAATATTCGTGCTCTATTTGCTTTCTTTCCATGCAGCCTAGGACCCTAGCCCACTGAATGGCACCACCCACTTGTAGGACAGGTGTCCCCACCTCAACCTAATCTAGATAGCCCCCTCATAGACATGCCCAGAGATTTGTCTCCAAGGTGACTCTGGATCCTGTCAAATTGACAAGCAATATTAACCATCACAATCCCACACTTTCTCAACTTGACACCTCCCTTTGAATCCATACCCTTTCTCCCTTTCTCTTCATACACTCCTGAGCAGCTCAGAATACAAATGCACACTCCATCACAATAATAGCTCCAGTACTACTTAAAAGCCCAAGTATCTGAGACTCAAGGCAATTGCATGATTGTACACTCCTATCAAATCAAATCCAGTTAAATCCTGTATACTATGGCACAGAGCAAACACCCCCATGCCAAAGGGGAAGACTGGGGCATTGGAAGGAATTATTGAACCAAGCAAAACTACAATCCATCAAAACAACCACCAAATCCCACAGTTCTGTGACCAGCATCTGGAATGAGCTTGGGTATTTAAATGCTGGAGACTATAGGGGACATTTTTTCATTCATAATGCCACATGATGGAATTGAGAGTAAGAGTGACCCCAAAGACAAGAAATGGGTAGGGAGGAACAGTGGTAAGGGCTGTTCTGGAGCTGCCTTGAACCTGCTTATAAGATCCAACTGTTAAATTTTCTAGAGCAGTGATTCTTAGCCTTCCTAATATTGTGACCCTTTAAGAGTTCCTTCATGGACTGGAGAGATGGCTCAGAGGTTAAGAGCACTGACTGCTCTTCCAGAGGTCCTGAGTTCAATTCCCAGGTCCTGAGTTCAATTCCTAGCAACCACATAGTGGCTCACACCATCTGTAATGAGATCTGGTGCCCTCTTCTGGTTTGCAGGAATACATGCAAGCAGAACACTGTATACATAATTAATAAATAAATAAATAAATAAATCTTTTTAAAGAAAAAAAGTTCCCTCTTGACGTAGTGACCCCCAACCATAAAATTATTTTCATTGCTACTTCATAACTGTAATTTTGTTAGTGTTATGAATCATAATGTAAATATGTGTGTTTTCTGATGGTCTTAGGTGACCTCACAGGTTGACAACTACTGTCTCAGAGTTTTGCAAGCCAATTGATAAGTGTTATTTAAAATGAAATAAACACTTTCTATAAAATAAGTCTTCAAAAGTAATGTGGTAAACACTCAAAATTCACCACTTCCTAATAATCTGACAGCCTTTTACTATCATTTACTAAAGTCACCCATTGAGATGATTCATGTTTGGCATTTGTGTGGTGCAAGTATTATATAATGGTATGTTATTGTGCATCTCTATCCAGCTCTGCATTCTGATGCCAGGGGCTTTTGTTGTTCCCAGTGGGGATGCTTTTGCAAAGGATACGGAAAAATAGTACAAGGCATGCTGTCTTCTGTCACTGTACGGTAAATATTTGCCACTGATTTTCCAGGCACATAGGTCTCTTTGGTACGAAATTCTATCACCTATGCCACGCTGGCATCTGTGTCTTTTAATCTTGTCTGTCGACTTGATTGGATGAAGAAGCACCAAGGAGACTAGGAAAGTACACTTCTGGGTATCTGTGAGGGTGACTCCAGAGCTGGGGGAGGCTTGCCCTGGTGTTGGACAGTGCCGGTTATTAAGTTGTGGGTCCAGACAGGATGAAAGGGGGAAAGAAGAGTCTGGGTGCACAGGCACTCCCTCCCTGCTCCCCAGAAGCTGTGGTGTGGGCTACCCCCTCCCTGCCATGATGGAATGAGATTGCTGAGACCAAGAGATAGGGCGTTCCTCTTCCGTCTAAGTTAGTTATGCCAGGCTTTCCATCCATCACACAGACGGTACGTAGTTTAGTCATTGAATGTTTTTAAATCTCTTTCGGTCCCTTCACGTTGTGAGAGAGTTTTTGCTGGGCCTTGAGTCCTGCCTGGATTGTGAAGAGAGGCAATGATTGCCCTTTGCTATGAAATATCTTTCCAAGTGGGCTCCTACAGCAAACAGTGTTGAAAGAGAGAAAGAGTACTTTTTTTATGGAGCAAAGGACAAGTGTCCTGACTGCCTGTTACCAAATTTTAGATTTGCTAAATTCAAGGTCCTCTTCTGCATCACAACCCAGCGTGCACACAAGTGTGCTCTGACCCTTGTTGTAACTGTGCACGCACAGCCCCAGAAACTATATCACACATGTTTGTTTTTCCCTGTGACAGATCCATAAGCCATGTTGTATTAACACGCTGACCTATTGGTGAAAAGAGCATGTTAAGATGTTCGTGGGGTTTTACAGTTCACGGACTCCAACTTAACATGGCCTGGCTCCAAATCCTGGTAGTAAGCTGATTGCTACTGCACCCCATGCTTCACACCAAAGCGAATTAGTCCCCTTCTCCCAGCTTACAAACACACCTGCCCTCTTATTTGTGGGTTGTAGGAGCTCTGCTATTGCTAATTGTTCTTATAAACATAGAAACTGCCGGGCAGTGGTGGCGCACGCCTTTAATCCCAGCACTCGGGAGGCAGAGCCAGGTGCATCTCTGTGAGTTCGAGGCTAGCCTGGTCTACAGGGCGAGATCCCAGACAGGCACCAAAACTACACAGAGAAACCCTGTCTCGAAAAAAAAAAATAATAAAATAAGATAAACATAGAAACTGAGGAAGTGGGAGTCCATGTTTCTTCCGGAAAAATAACTTCAAGAGGTTGTCAACAGATACAGAAGTGAATAGAAAATCAGAAAGCGAGAGAAAAAGAACATGGTTCTTCAGCACGAAATGGAAAATTTATACAAAAAAAAATGACAAATCAAGTTGACATTTATAAACTGAGTGGGGACTTTTTCACTTGTGAGTCACAGAAACTCTTCTCAACTAAGACCTTGAGAGCTGGGATGCTTGTACTGCGGGAGCGGGCTGGAACCTGGACCAGGAGCAGCAGGAAGCACCAGAGATACAGGGATATGAGGCCAAAGAGCCTGGTCAGAATTAGACCACAATGCAAAAGTTGGGAGCAGGCGTACCCCTCTACCCCTCCGCCCCCTGCTGCATATTTAGCGTCAGAAGTGTGTGAACACGGTGTGACAGATGATCACACTCAGAACTGCTTCAGAAGGGGAACATTTTCTCTCTAATTCTTTCTCCCATGGGGCTTTTTTGGAACTGACCACATCTCTGTGGTACTTGGCTACAACGAACCTTGCCACGGCTCCAGGTTATCCAGCTTTTGGGGCTCCTGGGAATCTATCTGCTGGCCCAGGTCCTCAAGACTGCTAGAACAGGCTGGTGGCCTCACTAGTCCTCATCAGCTCTTCACTTCTTGACTCATCTGTGCAATCAATTTCTTGCTTTAATCCCCATCTTAAACAGTCAGGTTTCCATTTCCTGCTTTGATCCTGAGTTACACACTATACTATGCTTTGTTTTTAAGTTCTGGGGAGAAGAAAAAAAAAAAAAAACAGGTCATTGAACATGTTAGGTAAGTATTCGTGGGGGGTCTGTATGGAAAATGACCACCTCTCAGAGTCCCAGGAACTTAAAAACTTGGTCCCTAACTGGTAGCTGGAATCTTCAGGAGGCGGAGCCATGATGGAGGAAGTCTGTCCCTGGAGGAGGGCTCTGGACCTTTGCGCTTCCCGTTTGTGTTTGAAATTGTGATCTCTCAGCTTCCTGCTTAGGCAGCCCGTAGCCATACCTCATGCACCATTGTGGACTCTCCTTCCAGAAGCACAAACTCGAAGAAACTCTTTCTTCTTGCCTTGGCCGTGGTATTTTAATCACAGGATTAGAAAAGTAATTAATTTTTAATTAATTACTACCACCACAAAGCTACATCTCTAACGCTTTTTATTTTATACAAATCTACAATTAAAAGGCACTTGAGCCATTGGGACTTATTGGCACAAGGGCAGAAATGATGCTGGGCAGGTCGTTGGTTCAATCAGGACTCTGGTGATAGCATCCTCGTGTGAAGAATAAAGCTGAAGAGCTGCTTCCTAAGGGTCAAATAAAGGGATAGAGTTCAGGAGAAATGGTGCCGCTTGATATCGGATTTTGCAGTGGAGAGAAGATGGGGGGAAATAGAAGGAATTTCCTCCCAGTTAATGAAGGTGTTTCAGTCTGCTAACGGAAATAAAAATTAGTCATAGAGTCCCTTAAGTGAATTCCCCAGTAAAGACCAAAGGAAGTGAATAATTGAGTCTCTTGCATTTGTGTGGGCATTTGCGTGTTATCACTGTCAAGTGGGGCACATTCATTCTCCAGTTGGTTTCATTGTGACATACAGTCTCTATTTAAAGACTCTTCATGTGGTCAATACTGCATATTCTAGAAATTTGAAATTCTACTCCATGTAATTTCTCTTCTGTGGAAAATGCATCTAGATTTCCCAAAGTAGAAAGGAATTATGGGAACATACCCAAATAGTAGACTGCTGAAAACATGTGAGACATAGTTCACATTGTTTCGTTCTTGAACTGTGTCCACTAGAGGGCAGCAAAAAATTAAGAAGAACGTTACATTTACCAACTAAAAAATTATGAGTCAACCTGTATCCCTGATTGCTGATAAGCAGAGAATCATTAAAGCCCCAGATAGCAACAGTGAAAAAAGAAAGTTGAGGAACAGAGAGATATGGCTCAGCAGGTAAAGATGCTTGCTGCCAAGTGTGACAGCCTGAGTTCAAGACCTAGAACCCACATGGTAGAAAGAGAAGACTTCAAAAGTTTTCATGGCAGTGGGCA